GTTTGAAGCGGCCGTTCACAGTAAGGCTGCGAGCGGCGTGGGAGCGATGGATGACAGACTGAGACCACAGTTTCAGGATAAATGGAAGGCAGCGCCGGGCAAGTTACGCCACCGTTTGCGGATGGATTGTAGATGCTTGGACTAACGTGTCTGCTGGCTCTATTGTTCAAGCTTTCGCAAAAGCCGGCATTATTTCTGAGGAGCTGCGCTGCACGGAAAGTGACTGACAGCGCAGATGGGGAAACTGGCATGTCTGATTTAGTGCAGCTGTTTTATTCAGAGGAATGCTGAGGATAACAGAGGATGATGACTTTGATGGGTTTGATTAATACTTTGTAATAAATACATGAATAAAGCACAATCATACTCAGGTTTGCTCCCGCTCTATTTTTCTCCCTGAAAGCTTAATTCAATGGCAGCCTCTGAGCGCGTCTCCTCCGCTTCACCGCGGTGGCTGGCAGGTGTTTTTTCATCTAAATAATCTAAATCTTGCAGCTATATTTGCTGTGATCAGTGGGAATAAATAAGTATAAATATGTTTTTAAGTGAGAAAGGCCACCTGAAAACTTAATAATTGCAGTCAGTTCATCCAGATTATCTATTTCTGTCGGAGGCGCTCAGACCCCCACATACCAGCAGTGCGCCGACAGGAGAAATCCTTTCGTTCACCGCGGCTGCTGGCAGGTGTTTTTCATCTAAATAATCTAAATCTTGCAGCTATATTTGCTGTGATCAGTGGGAATAAAGTAGTTTTAATATGTTTTTAAGTGAGAAAGTCCACCTGAAAACTTCATAATTGCAGTCAGTTCATCCAGATTATCTATTTCTGTCGGAGGCGCTCAGACCCCCACATACCAGCGGTGCGCTGACAGCAGAAATCTCTTCATCAGCAGCCTGTAGGCTGGGCAGCCTGGGGTTCACCGCGGCTGCTGGCAGGTGTTTTTCATCTAAATAATTTTAGCTGCAGGCACCAGGATACCGGCAATAAAAGCGAACATATTCCGTCGGCAGGTTTCAGGATTTTAAGTTAATTTAGGAGTGATCACAGCGCTGTGTCATCTGTCTCACGGCCAGCTGCCAGGTTTGATTAATACTTTGTAATAAATACATGAATAAAGCACAGTCATACTCAGTTTTGCCCCCGCTGTATTTTTAAATACGCAGTAGAGGTATTTAAAGGTAGTAGAGGACATGTACCTGTATATAAAAAACGCGCCCTATAGTCCGGTGCGCCTTATGTGTGTGTTAAATACAGAAATGGGACACATAACTGAGAGTGCGCCTTTTAGTCCGGTGCGCCTTATGGTCGTGAAAATACGGTAGATGCATCGCAATTCGGACATGCAAGATTCTGAATCGATTAAACATCAAGCATCGATTATATAATTTTCTTTCTAACGTAATGCTGACGGAACGCAAAAGACGGAACTCGTAAGTGCGCGACTGCAGAACACGGACGGGCTGCATGCACACACTCACCACACGAGAGATGGCTCAGCAGGAAGTTCGACCTGCTCCCTCAGGATTAAAAGCAACTGTATGGAAGCACTTTGGATTCTATGAAAACCAAGCGAAGCGTTAGTTGGACAAGAGCTATGCTGTACGCAAGTTGTGTCAAACTACCTCCCGGAAGAAGAAAAAAGCTGCCGGTTGTAACGTTAGCTGCGAACCAGACGACAATGAAGCAAGCGATGTCAAAGCTTCCACCCGGAGGAAGAAAAGGCTAAGAGAATTACACATTCGATTGCAATATTTAGTGCCAGGGATTTGCGTCCTTACTCGGTTGTTGAAAACCAGGGTTTTTATCTGAGCAATTCATATGTTATATATTCTAAAATCAGATGTTATAGACTCTTATTTATTATTGCATATGTGCAATTTATATTATTTATTTAATTTAAGTGCAATTAATAAGTTATTCAGAATGTCACATGCTTGTATGAAAGCAGTACAAAAGCTTTGTATGATTTTTGGCTCAACAAAATTTTATTTTTTATCTGATTTGACTTGCTAAAATGCTTCCAATTGTTGTATAAATAAATATTATTGGGAGTAAATTAATCGTGAATCATTACAAATATTTTGCTTTAAAAGTACAACGCAGTCGCTGATAAAATTCTGTATTGGAAAAAATGTATTCATCAAGATGCATTGATAATCGTCTTATAATCGAATCGCAGTCGTCAGAATCGTAAATGCCCAAAGATTCCCACCCCTAATGTGTGTGCGTGTTTTCTACTTACGGAGTTGTAGAAGAAGAGGCCACAGCTTCTTCATCATCACCAATATCTTCAGAAAAGTGCCTAACAAAAAAGTTGTGTTAATGTTAAAACACTTCATGCATCACTCAATATAATAGGATAAAAATGGCTGATTGATTAAAACTATAAATGTTTTACAATTAATTTGGAAATTATGCCACATACGTTTAAATAGTATAAGAAATGATCTGTAACTTTAGCTGGTAATTAGCTCTTTAACTTAGCAAGCTAGCTTCTAGCACGTTTTGTTAATACTTACTTTCGTTTACGTCTTCTCTCTGTTCTTTCTGGAACAGGTGCTTCGTCGTCAACGAGGTACCTTTTGTAACGTAATGGATCCATATGTACTACTTTTCTTTAAAGGCGTCTTATTTCCTTTACGTTATTTACCGTTATACTTGCAGGCTTTTCTCCGCTCTGCTGCTACCTTCTTCTTCTTCTGTTGTTTTATGGCGGATTGGCAGGCCAACGTAAAAAGCGCATTTCCGCCACCTACTGATCTGGAGTGTGGAGTGCACAATTTTGGAAGACTGCGCTATACCCAAAAGAAAAAAAGAAAAAAAAGAATCCTATAACTAAATCCTATTAATTGTTCCTGTATCTTTTAGATATTTGAATAATATTTCATTAACTCTTGTTTGTCTTATCTCGTTTCCTAACAATGCTTTTATTGAATTCCCATTAATCCCTATTTATCTCAACTCTTGTATGAACTTCACTTTCTCCCTTACATACGCATTACACTCAAAAATAATATGTTGTACTGTTTCTGGATCTCCACATTTATCACAATTTCCTGTTTCATGTTTCCCTATTTTAAAAAGACTGTAGTTTAATGCTGTGTGACCTATTCTTAGCCTTGATAATTATATCTTTTTTCCTATTTCCATATCTTTTCCTCTCCTTTCCAACTTTTGAATCTGATATAAATATCTTCATTTTGACTCATTATTCCATATCGTTTGCCATTTCTTTCGAGTTTCAATTGTTATCAATATTTTAATTTCTGATTTACTTAAAAATACATTCATTTCTATTTGCTGATGATTTAATGCTTTCTTTGCAAGCTTGTCCGCTTTCTCATTTCCATCTACACCCACATGTGCTGGCACCCAGAGAAAGTATACTAGTATTTTTAACTGCCTTATTCTAAATAGACTTTGCAATACTTCAAATATTAAATCTTGCCTAGTTTCAGATTTTCCACTTAGAAGACTATTTAGCGTAGCCATTGAGTCTGTACATATTACAGTTCTTAGTGGTTGAACTTCTTCGATCCACTGTAGTGCTAATATGATAGCTAATACTTCAGTTGTAAATACTGACACATGATTAGATATTCTTTTTGCAATTTTTATTTTGAATGCCTGATTTTGTATAACTTCTATCTTATTAAGTAAGGTTTTATTCGCAGAGCTATAAACTATACTACCATAATCTATGTTTGACCTAATCACTGCATAATACATTCTCTTCAAAGACTGACAGCTTGCTCCCCAATCAGCTTGCTGCTACCTTCTTGTGCTGCTACCTTCTTCTGATGCTACCTTCTTCTTCTTCTTCTTCTTCTTCTTCTTCTTCTTCTTCTTCTTCTTCTTCTTTACGTTTTATGGCAGTTTGCACTGTCTATCTCGACACTGGCATGGGAGCTGGTTGGTGTGGCTTGGGAAAGGGAAGTTTAAGGTCCCCTGCTGGACCTGCTGCCCCCTGCGATTATGGATAAATGGATGAGAATGGATGGATGGATATACAAAATGTTTGTTTTTAAAACATTTAATCAAATAATGTGATATCTTTCATTTTACAGGGGAAAAAAATCCAAACTATATTGATATTATGATCATTACTTCAACCCTGTTATCATTTTCAACCCTGTTATGCTAAGTTCAACCCTGTTATTTGATAGTTTTTAAATAATATTTTTGTTATAAAAAGACAAATTAGATCAATGTTTGTTTTGCTGTGTGTAGAATTTACAGGACAGTTGGAAAAAACATGAAAGCCTGATTAAATCCTAATGCATATTTTTAATTCATATTTTTTGAAAATATATGAAAACCAAGATACTGTTTTCATGACCTGATTTGGTATTCAAATGGTGGGTATTTAAAAATAAAATTCTACATGCAATAAATTATATCAAACAAGGGACATGTCATTAAAAACCTTCTACATGAATGTACTTGAAAATCTTTTAAATTCATATTCACACAGGGTCCAACTTGTCTGTGACGGGGTTGAACTCAAAAACAATTTTCACTAAGAAAAAACACTAAATAACGATTAGAATTTCATGCCTGAGGTGGGAAAACATATTTTCTAAAAGGTTTGACTAATCCACTATCACATGAAAAGATCAGAAATATAACTATTTGATAAAAAAAAAAAAAAGAATGAGGCCAAGGGCCCAATTCAGAGAATCACCCCAATGGGCTCTATGCACAGCTCCACTACTTCCTGAATTTAAGGCAGCTCCTTTGTTTCCTGTCTTTCATTATTGGACGAACTGATTAATCCAGGTGTGTCTGGCCAGTTACTTAGGTCATACACACCTGGATTAATCAGTGCATCCAATCATGAAAGACAGGAAACAAAGGAGCTGCATTAAATTCAGGAAGTAGTGCTGTGCATAGAGCCTATTGACCGCTACGGCTTCACGTAGTTTCATGACGTCATCATCCACTTCATCTGATTTTGCGCGGAAAGATAGCGGTTGGGTGCAATAATGGCAATATCAGCGGGAGGGCTCCGTTATGTTCTTCTAGAATGGACTGAGGGTGAGGACGGAGGGGCGCATAGTATTTTGCCCATCGACTGTGTCCGAAATTTTTCATTTAAAGAATTTCTTAAGAGGAAGGAAAAAACTGAGAAGCTGGTGGAATGGAGAAAAGGCCGCCAACCGTGGCCGGTGCACCGAGCCAGAATTATTGAAGTGGCAAGTAAGTTAAGCTAACTTCATCTGATGTTATGTAGTTAACGTTATATAACTATACAATATTAAATGGCTTTGCTCGCACTTGAAAAAGTGTAAAATGGATCTTGCTATGCCGGCTTGCAAGGCTCATATGTGAGCTAACATTAACATTACTTAATTTGCTGATGTTAGCTTACTCCAGTTGGGAGTTAAAGTACTTCTTGATTCTGAGATCATACAAGTTGCTATATATTAGAAAGTTCATATATCAATATGACCTGAGTAAAAAAAAAAATTAAAAATTTCGATGACAATTTGGATTTTTTAGGCTTTTTAGCTCAAGCCTCCTTAAAAAATTTCGCCGCCGTGTCACGTGACCGATGACGTAGTTCGTTGACAAGCGTTGATCTGTTTACATGGCAACACGTTACTTCCTACTTGCAAAACTACCTTTTCTTAAACAAAAATAGACGGATAAAACATGGTTAAAATTAGGGCTGCAACTTACGATTATTTTAAAAATCGATGAATCGGCCGATTATTTTTTCGATTAATCGATGAATCGGACAAAAAATATTTTTTATATTAACCTCTTTATTCCAAAATAAACATTTTAGACAGAACAAACAAGCACACAAGTACAGGTTGCTCATTAACTGTACTGGTGCAATATGAAAAATAAATGTTTGTGTTAAAACTACGCAAACTTACATGAGAAATGTAGCTGTACATCCACTAAATATAGGGTACTTTGTTTCATAAAGCGCAAAAAGAGACAGGCATTTTTGTTTTTTAAAGCCCCTAAGGGGTTCAAACAATAGGCCCCCCCATTTCAACGAATGAGTTTTTTTTTAGACTAGAAGAGTACTGCCTTTTAAGACAGGAAAGTATAGCAGTTAAAGTTGCTACTTGAGAAAATACTTAACCATAGAGATAAAAATAGCCCTGTGATTCAAATTATAAATTGTATTTGGAATAAAAATGAGAGAACTAGGGGTGCTAAAAAACACATCCTCCAAAGACAGATATTTACATGGGAATGTGGCAGATAATTAATTGACATATTACTGATCTTTCTGGATTTTATTATGCTTTACTTCCATAAATTGCAGGATCTTCTTTATCTTTGCCAGAAGATTTAAACTTTAAAAGCCTTGCCCTCATAATTTGCAAGTTAATTTATGTATAAAGAAAATATAAACGCTGCTTAAGCTAATTCAAATGAAATTAAAAGTAAAATAAGTAGCCAACCTTATCACTGTCTGTAACCTACTAACACGGTAAGGAAAGCATCAGATGAGCTACCTGAGAAACTGTCTGGCAGAACCACGATTATAAAGCCCGATTCCAGCCCATTTCGTTTAATCTTCTTAAATATGTTTTATTATTATATAGATGAATCGTAACAGAAGCTTGCGCTGTATTTCATGTTAAAATCATCACTTTGTGAATCCACATGTGAACTTGTCATTGTGTCCTCCATTGCACTCTATGTAGCTTAGCTGGAGCTAAGTCAACGAACTATGTCATTGTACCACGTGACCCAGATGTGGATTTTCCGCCTAGCGGTCGCCACGGGGCACTTTTTAGTCCAAAAAAATATCTTCACCAGCGCAATCCCGATCTTAATGCCACATTTTCTGAAAATAAGGTCACAAATGCATGTTTTTCCAAGTTGGTCGATTTTAGAAAAGTAGTCAAGAAGTACTTTTTAATGTTTGATTTGGTAACGTTAAACTGATTAGACACGTTTGCAGTTCATGAAAACGTTTCTATTCTTTGCACCAGAATTTGAAAAAACTCTCAAAATCAAACTGCGTGAGATCGAGATGGAGAAAGAAGACACACAAGGGCAAACAAAACGTCCTCACATCCCAAATTCTAAGTACAGTGACCAGCAGGGGCTAACTGAGAAGGCTTCAAAGAAAAAGGTAACATAAACTGACTTCACCAATTGGTGCTATGCTTAAAGTTATCTCCCCCTCTCTCTCTTGTTCCTTAATGTGTATGCATGTGTGTAGGTTTGTAATTGTCTTATCTATGATGATTTCATGTGCTTTGTTGACAAGATGATCAAGTGCAAGGTCATGTAACATAAGTTAACATAAGAGTTGGGATAAAAGTCAGTCCGTCTCTCTGTCACTCAAGGTTGACAATCAAAAGGGAGGGGCTTCCAAATCAAAGCACCAGGAGGGTGAGAAGCAGGAGGGTCATGACATACTTTCAAAGAACAAGGTACACAACCAGTCTGCATCCTGTGTGTTTTGTTTCATTACAAAACAGCAGCTGTTATAAGGTATGAAAGCAGCACAATAGGGAAATTTTTCCCCTTTGTCCCGAGAAGCAGGAGAAGGTGGCGGAGGAGGAGGAGGAAGAGGAGGAGGGTGTGGAGGAGGAGGAGGAGGATACGCTTGATTACAGCTCTTCAAAGAACAAGGTACACTAGCAGTCTGCAACCAGTGTGAGTTATTACATTGCAATACAGTAAAGATAAGTAAGACTTTTATAATAAAGTGCTTTACCAGTAGCTGTACCAGGTATGACATCAGCCCAGTAGGCAACTTTGTCCCCCCTCTCTCTCTTTCTCTTTGCCTACCAGCGGGCCAGCGAAGAGAAAGAGTGTATTTGGGATGAAGAGGACATAATACCACCCTCTAAGAAAAAGGTAGCCTAAATGATGACATCCATTGATAGGTGTATTACATACATACATTACATGAAATACAAGATGTGGAAATTTCAAATTGTGTTTTAAGTAAGGAATAAGTACAAGGAGGCCTGACAACCAGTTACATATAGCCGAGGGGAGAGGTTTATGCCCTAGACTCCTAGACATCCTCCCAGTCAATCAGAATAAACAAGGGCTGCACGATATTGGGGAAAAAATGCATTGCAATATTTTCTCCCCAATGATACATATTGCGATATTGTGAGCCATATCAATTCAGGCTAAAGTCAATAATTACCATTCCGTGATATTAATAATTGAATTAATAAGCAAGCTTCATTACAGTGCAAAAGTAAAACACTGTTGGCCATCATCATAATTGCCGTTTTAGGTGTTCATACAAATTGTCAGCGTTTCCCAAAAACTCCAAGCAAAGTAACGTTACCTCTTTTTGGTGAACATCCTCCTTTTTGTAGCCGAAATGGTCCCAAACAGTGTTCCTCTAAGCTGCGCACCTGTGTGCACTGCTCGCACATTCTCAGTGCACAAGTATAACTATGTAGCACATAAAATGTCATTCACCATAGACGCATAAATTAATATTTAATTTAGACCTAGTCTAATCAAAGAAATGACACTAAAAATGTGCTTTTCAGGACCGTTTTTCAACGTAGCAGTGAGTGACAGGTGTCCAGCCAATGATACGGTCTATTTATGCTACGTAACTAATCATAGCATTGATAGTGCTTTTGTATGTGCCCTTCCCGTACGTGCCGAGCAGGTTAGCTACAGCTAACAACAACACAGCGGAGTTATCCGCCGTTATAGATGTTATAATAGATCATAGAGGTTATAGACACAACCCACACACAAAGCTAAAGTTAAAGATAACGAAGTGTGTGTGTGTGTGTGTGTGTGTGTGTGTGGTGACAGCGTGCACATGTTGCTCGCAGTGGTCCTCAGTTTGCTCTGGGGGCTTGTGAATATCGTTCAGCCCTAGAATCAACCATCCATTTTAGAAATGAAGTTATAGAACAATTAAATTTTGTTCTTTTCTCTGTCTCTTTTCCGTAGACAGCTGCTGAAGTTAGAAAACACCTGGACGAACAGATGTGGGAGAAAAGAAAATTCGACCAAATGCAAAGAAATTTGCAGGAGTTGAGGAATGAACTCCAAACTCTTAAAAAGGAAAATGAACGTCTGAAAGACATTATCATCAATCGTAAGTTTTTCTAATTTTATTATTATTAGCAGGGTTTTTTCAGGAGATGGATTTTTTCGTGGCAGAGAAGTATAAACTTAGAAATTTTATGGGCTGCAACACATGTTTGGAAAAATAAATGCTATGTTGTTAGCTGGTGAGGTAGTGATAGTGCTCACATAGCCACTCATAAGATTCAAATTAGAATTAAAGCTGCAAGCAGCGATGGACGGGCCCTCGCACGTGCTGGGTGCTATTTTGATTTGAGGATTGTCATTTATTCTTGGTATAATTTCATTCTAGATATCCCTCAAATTCAAAGTGACCTCTCCATTATTGCTCAAAAGGTAATTTCTTCTGATTGTCATTGTTTTTTAAAATTGTTTCTCAGGCAGAGCTGTAGAGAATTGTGATGTTGAGCTAATTTATAGTGTTAATTATTTCATGTATTTGCACTTTAATGTATTGAAGTGACTAACTTTATTTTTCTTTTATGGACAAGACTGGAAGGACTCCTGTGGAAGATCTTGATTCCTCCTTGACTTTTGTGCAACCGGTGGGTAACCCCCTCGCATTTTTATTTATTTATTTAGTGTACTGGTTACTTAAACAACTGTATGGATTTGATTATTTTTCGCTGATTACTTTTGCATGTCACTTTAATTTATTGACATGTTTAATGTTTTCCAAGCCCGTAAATAAGAATCTATTGGCTTCCTTGGATGAATAAAAATTGTTGTAGAGTTTTACTACCGTATTTTCCGGACTATAAGTCGCTCCGGGGTACAAGTTGCACCAGCCATTAAATGCATAATAAAGGAAAAAAAAAAACATATATAAGTCACACTGGAGTATAAGTCGCATTTTTTTGTTGTTGCTTTTGCGCGTGCATATAGTGAAATAACTGGCGCTCCGCTCCACTCTTCTACCCCAAACCCCCCTCCTCACACGCACACTCGTCCGCGCAAACCATGTCTTCTTCCACCCGCTACGTGGGTTTGTTTGGTTTGAAAATAACAGGTGTAATGATATACCGGTAAAAATGTGTAATAATTTCACACACAAGTCGCTCCAAAGTATAAGTCGCACCCCCGGCCAAACTATGAAAAAAACTGCAACTTATAGTCTGGAAAATACAGTATGTATGACTTTGCATCTATTGTGGTGAAAGTGGACATTTCATTGCTTCCTGCCCGGCTAAATTAAAAGGCAGGGCCCGCCAGAGGATCTGAGGAGTCTGGCGGGCCAAACCAACTCTAAGAAATCTCTTCGATTGATGCTTCCTGCCACTTTGTTTTGTGATAATCAGAACCTCTCCTTTTCTGCCTTTATTGACTCAGGCTGTGAACGGAACCTCATAGACTCTAACCTTGTTCAACAGTTGATGATTGAAACTGTTCCCCTTTCTCAACCTCTCTGTGTCTCAGCCATTGATGGGAAAAATCTCCACCAAGTTACTCATCAAACTCAACCCCTCGAGCTCCTCCTCTCAGGTAACCATCGTGAAACTATCACATTTTTTGTCATTCCTTCTGCATGTTCCCCGTTGGTGCTCGGATTCGAATGGCTGGAGAAACACAATCCACGCATTAATTGGACTGAACGTCACGTGGAAGCATGGTCTTCGTCATGTCATGAGACTTGTCTTCGGTCGGCAGCCCCCGTGGTGGGGCCTCCTAGAGGGGGGGGAGAGATGGACTTTCCTGACCTATCTTCAGTTCCCTTTGAGTACCATGACTTGGCCCCGGTCTTCAGTAAGGTCAGTGCTACGTCCCTTCCACCACATAGACCATATGACTGTGCAATTGAGTTGTTACCTGGAGCACCGTTACCCAGCAGCCGTTTATATAACATCTCCAAACCAGAACGAGAGACAATGGAGAGGTATATTAACGAGTCTTTAGCTGCTGGAATTATTCGCCCGTCCTCTTCTCCTTTGGGTGCTGGTTTCTTTTTTGTTGACAAGAAGGATGGTTCATTAAGACCATGCATTGACTACAGAGGGTTGAACCAAATCACTATAAAGAATAAGTACCCTTTACCTCTCCTAGCCTCAGCTTTTGAACCTGTTCAGGGGGCAACAGTCTTCACCAAACTGGATCTGAGAAACGCATATCATCTCCTCAGAATCAGAGAAGGAGATGAATGGAAGACTGCTTTCAAGACACCATTAGGTCAGTTCGAGTACCTGGTGATGCCCTTTGGTTTAACAAACGCCCCCGCCTGCTTTCAAGCACTAGTGAATGATGTTCTCAGAGACTTTTTAAATGTGTTTGTCTTTGTCTATATAGACGACATACTCATTTATTCACGGAACTTAACTGAACACAAGAAACATGTCCGCCTGGTGTTACAGAGGCTACTGGAGAACAAGTTATTCGTCAAGGCAGAAAAATGTGAGTTCCACCAACCATCAGTGACCTTTTTGGGGTTTGTGCTCGAGGGCGGGCAGGTTAAGCCTGCTGAGGACAAGATAAAGGCGGTATTGGACTGGCCGATTCCTGAAACTCGAAAACAGCTTCAAAGGTTTTTGGGGTTCACCAATTTTTACCGTCGTTTCATTAGAAATTATAGCCAGACGGCTCAACCTCTGACCTCTTTAACTTCGGTTAAGAGGAATTTTCAATGGACTCCCGAAGCTCAGTCTGCTTTTGACAAACTGAAATCTTTGTTTTCCAGAGCACCGGTGTTAATTCAGCCTGACCCTTCTAAACAGTTCATCCTGGAGGTCGATGCTTCGGATTCTGGCGTTGGAGCCGTCCTTTCCCAGAAACTCGACTCAGATCAAAAGATTCATCCATGTGCTTTTTTCTCTCGCAGACTCATCAGCAGAACAGAACTACGGCGTTGGAGATCGAGAACTATTAGCCATCAAATTGGCGTTGGAGGAGTGGAGACACTGGCTAGAGGGAGCTGAGCACCCGGTTCTAGTCTGGACTGATCACAAGAACCTTGCTAGCATCCAGTCTGCCAAACAGGCCAACCCTCGTCAATCCAGGTGGTCCATTTTCTTCTCCAGATTTAATCTCGTTATCTCCTACAGACCCGGATCAAAGAATGTGAAACCAGACTCCCTCTCGCGCCTATACTCCGTCGATCAACCCGAGACACCAGAGCCAGTCCTCCCGGCCTCTTGTACTGTGGGAGTCGTGAACTGGGAGATATCCGATCTCATTAACTCCGCCCTGGCCACGGAACCCGACCCAGGTAACGGTCCGGCTAACAGAACTTATGTTCCGTCTTCCGTCAGGTCCAGGCTCATTCAATGGATGCACACTGCCAAATTCTCGGCCCACCCTGGAGTCAGTAGAACCATCACTCTCATCACCAGACGCTTCTGGTGGCCCACTCTCCACAGGGACGTAAAGGAATATGTGCTGGCCTGCCCCATTTGTGCTAGGAACAAGGCCTCGCATCAGCCACCCTCTGGTCTGCTACAACCTCTTCCGATCCCTTCACGTCCATGGTCCCACATTGCCATAGATTTCGTCACTGGTCTCCCCGTCTCTCGAGGTATGTCCACAATACTCACCATCGTTGACCGTTTTTCCAAGTCCTGTCATTTAGTCCCTCTCAGGAAGCTCCCCTCGGCGTTCCAGACTGCTCAGCTTCTCGTGAAACACGTCTTCAGATTACATGGCATTCCCCAGGAAATCCTATCAGACCGTGGTCCTCAATTTATCTCTCAAGTTTGGAAAGCCTTCTGCTCAGCTCTGGGCTGTAAGTCTGCTTTAACTTCAGGTTATCATCCACAATCCAACGGTCAGACCGAGCGCATGAATCAGCACCTTGAATCCACCCTCCGCTGCCTAACCTCCAACAACCCCACCGACTGGAGCCAATACCTTCCGTGGATCGAATACGCCCATAATTCACAAAAGTCAGCCTCCACCGGCCAGTCACCATTTCAGGTCAGTCATGGTTTCCAACCTCCACTTTTCCCTGCAGACGAGAAAGAAATAGCGGTCAAGACCATCAACCAACACATTCGTCGTTGTCAGAGAATTTGGAAGGAAACCATCACCACCCTCAGCAGATCATCCGAGACCAATAAACGCTTCGCTGACTCCAAAAGACGTCCCGCCCCCGAGTACGCCATCGGACAAGAGGTTTGGCTATCTACTCGAGACATCCCCCTCAAGGGGATGTCTCGGAAACTTTCTCCCAGATTCATCGGTCCATTCAAGGTTTCCCAGGTCATCAGTCCCTCTGCAGTCCGCCTCCAGCTACCTCCGAGTCTACGCATCCACCCCACCTTCCATGTCTCTCAGGTTAAGCCCGTGTTTTCTAGTCCCTTGTGCCCGCCATCCGACTCCCCACCACCCACCCTGGAAGTCGATGGCCACCCTGCGTTTACCGTCCGTCGCATTGTGGACTCCCGTCGGCGAGGTCGCGGCTGGCAGTACCTCGTCGACTGGGAGGGCTACGGACCTGAAGACCGTCAGTGGGTTCCTGGCTCATACATCCTCGATCCTTCCTTGATCGAGGAGTACGAGCGTTCCTGTCCATCTACTTCCTCCGGACCGCCAAGGGGCGGTCGTTGAGGGGGGGGTACTGTTGGAAGCTGGAGAAGTACCTCCTTTCTCCAGCAGAGTCCGCCGTGGATCCTCCTGAGCAGAGCCTCCTGCACAGCTGCTGCTCATTACCATCATCAAGAGGATCCACTACTTAAGCTGCCTTCAGACCTTGCCTCAACGCCGCAGTGTTGAGCCAGTTGGTTAGAACCTAAACCTAGAACCTCTGAGAACTTAGTTTGCTCTGAGTCCTGACTGGATCCTAATCTTGTCTCTGTCTTTCCAGGAAAACCTGATCTTCCCTTGCGAAGCTCAGGAAGAGCTTAACCTGCCGAGCCTGCCCTCTGAGCCAAACCTGAAGATTACCTCTGGATTCACATGCAGCTCTGGACCAAGAGCTGGAAACCCAAAGTCAAGGTCTGCTACCTTCCTAGAAGCAAGACGCTGAAGCAGCTAACGGACTCTGCTAACCAGACTCTCTCCAGTTCCAACAACCTTCCTCTCCAAGTGCTATTCAAGGACCCTCAAGGTACAAACCAGAAACTATCTAAGGACAGTCCTCTAAGAACCCAACTAACTAAACTGTCTTCCTCACAGACTCCGGTGAACCCGTTTTTCCCAGGACCAGAACCTGAACACATTATCTCTGAAATTGTATTCAATAAACTCTGTGAACTTTTCAACTGTTTCCTGCCTCGTGGTGTTCTGCATAATTGGGTCACATTCGTGTACCGATCATGACAATATCAAAACCTATATTAAAACATATATGTTTATATAGGTTCTTTCCATGTGGGATAGGTTCCTGTTTTGTTAAATCTTATGAATATAACTAAAAATGTGAAAGAAAATTGTCGGTGATGACTAGCTTAATTACTCATTTCATTTACCTGTCTTACTCTGCGCGGTTTCTCATTACTTCTCATCTGATCCACCTGCTCCTGCCTCTATTTAAGCTGCCTGCTACCAGTCATCAGTGCCAGATTATTTCTCTCGAGCCAGTGGGAAGGGTGTGTACAGTGTTACCTTAGTGTTTCTGATTACCTGATCATGTTCTGCCTCTCAACCACTGAGCCTGCCTGTTCCCATCTGATCTGTTTGCTTAAACTGTCTTTGGACTCATGCTGAATTTTACCTTCTGCTAAACTTGGGGCTGCTTCCTGCCACTGACCTGAATTTCCCTTTGGAACCTCTTGGACTTCTGATCTCCTGGTTCTCTATCCTGAAGATGTCCTTAACACCGGC